GAAATAAACTGAATAGAATCAACTGATCTGAGCAAACAGCCGTTAAACTATCAGCCGCCTCGTTCAGCTGAGAAAATGGGACCTTTTCTCGGATCTTCGCACTGCATTTAAGCCAACTTTATAAAAAGAGAAATGGTTTCTGGATGAGCGCCCTCTAGTGGATTTAAAGGTAACCTGGAACAGGAGCCGCTGGTCTGAGTGGCAGACGGCGGCCATCTTTGATTCAATCTGATTGGTTTCCTGTTTTTAAACAAACATTTATTGAAAAACTTTTGCTCAAAGATTTCTGACCAAAAGAGAGGAAACTGGATCAGAACCAGTTTTACCAGAACTTTGGTTTAATATCAAATTCAAATCAAAATAATTTGACTGTTTTTTATTTAAATTTAAAAACTTTTTGTCATTTCAGAGCAGTGGAAGGTCCAGAACCGCGGTCTGGACCGACCCGCTGCAGAGGCCCAGCTTCTGGTTCTGGTCCAGAACCAAACCGATCAGAAACGTCGTCTTTTCTTCTGCTTTGGTTCTGATTATTCCCTCCTGATCCAGTCGCTCTGGTTCTGACTAATTCTGCAGCAAATGATCCGTTGGTCACAGAGGAGCAGAACCTGGTTATGGTTCTGACTAGATTCAGTTCAGCAGAACCTACAGAGCCCAGAACATCTGGAAACCGGTTCTGATTATTTAATAAAAGACATTTGAGAAGAGCCGACCCAGACGCTGGTTCTGTTTATGCTGAGCCGGAGACCAAAACCACTGACAGGCGGCAGAACCTAAATTAAACAGTTTGGGTTTTTCAGAACCACCTCAACTTTCCTCTCCAGAACAGAATTCTGGAAATTCAGAATCTGGAAACTGAACCGGGTCCAGTTCTACTGGGACACAGTCGACCCAAAGATGTGGAACTCATCCATCAAACCAGAACCGCAACAGAAAGTACCAGAGTGGCAGCAGATGGAAGCAAACAGCACCAGCAGAACCCGACTAACAGAACCGGACCAGCAGAACCCGACTAACAGAACCGGACCAGCAGAACCGGACCGGCTGAGCAGAATCGGCCCGGTTCTGGTGCTCCGTCTCTGGGCCGGCCCATCTGGCCTCTACTTCAGTCTCCAGGACCAACATTTGGGACTAAAACGGGTCTCAGGATTCAGGTTCTGTCAGCATTAATTGGTTTAAACGGGTCGGAACCGTCCCTCAGGATCCTGGAAAGTTCTGGAGCAGGAGGAGCAGGGAGCATGCTGGGGGGCAGAACCAGAACCAGAACCAGAACCAGGTTCTGACCGGGTCCTGATGGGGAGCGGTTAAATGCCGGGTGCTGCGTTAATGGGTCGGTACCGGTGGCTTGGGGGGAGAAGGGGGCGGAGTCTTCTTCTTCTTCTGTATCTTAGCCCCGCCCCCTCTGAGGACGACAGGATCTTTTCTTCTTTTCTAAATGAAACTGCAGGAATTTTCTTCTTCTTTTGCAAACGTGATGAAGATGATGAAGATGATGGACGACCTCGCCATGTGTGTGTGTGCGGGGGGGGGGGGGGATGGTGAGCTGTACACTGAGTCTCTGTCTCCACTGGCGGAGTCCCAGCTGCTGGGAGCTGGTTTCTGCTCCTCCTCTTCCTCTTCCTCCTCCTCCTCCTCCTCAGTACTCGCTCAGGTTGTGCCACTTGGAGATCTGCCGGCGGGGGTTTTCACACACCTCCCTCCAGTGGGAGGCGCCGGAGGAGGAGGGGCTGTGGAGGCCCAGCAGCAGGCGGCCCAGCACCTCATTCTTGGTGGTCCGGTCGAAGTCCACCACCAGGAACTCCACGGAGATCTCAGGGAGGAGCTCCGGAGGGATGTCGTAGATGAAGGACTCGTTGAAGACGGGGTTCAGCGTGCATTTCTTCACGTGGGTCTTCTTCTTGGCGATGCGCTTGCGGCCGTAGAAGACGTTCACCTTCACGTACGGATCTGAGAGCAGAAGAAGAAGGATTTAAAAAACGTTCCTTTAAATAACGATTTATTAGCTTTACTGTGTTTATGTCATGGTGGGCGGGACTATGGCGGTTCCCTCTGAGACGCAGTCATCTGATTGGCTGCTTTTTAACGGCTAACAGTAAGGAGGCATGCAGTGTGGCGCTGCTTCACCAGGGGGCGCCGCGGCAATGAGGGAAGAAAAATAAAGTTCTGGTAAAAAAGTTCAGGGAAGATATTCAAAAAGATTCAAATCAAACCTTTATTTATCTATTAGAGCATCTAAAAATGTAAATAACGTCATAAACAGCGTCTGTAGTTTCCCTCCATCTCTTCCTGTTTCTCTCACATGACATCGCTTTTTCAAACGACAATTCCAACGCCATCGGCCTCACAGCTGATTGATTGAAGGTTTTAATTGGTGGGCGGGGCGACGCTGACATGCAGCGTTTACAACATTCTTTATTTTGCAGCCGATGACGTTTTAGGTGGTGGAATAAATCTGTTCTGCTTCTTTTTGCAACGATGGATTTTGGTCCTACCAACGAGCGCCAACGACCTCGGCGTGAAACCCAAACCGCTGCCGTATATCGCTCACCTGAAACTGCTGCTGTCGCCATGTTGCCTGTTCCTGCAGTTTGTGAGAAAATCATCCTGTTTGGAGGATGGATTCATGATGCGTTTAAAGTGTGTGGGGAAAAATAAAACTCTTAGTGATAAAGATGCAGACGGCTTAATGTCGTCATGGGAACCTGTACTCATTTTGTCGTACGTTGGGAAAACTCCAGAAATATTTATCATAGTCAATATATCGCCCAGCAATACATCAGTAACTGTATTAATACATTTAACAGTAATGTTAGATTATTTACTTTAGGGGTAAAACAATTAATCTGATTAATCGATAATTGAAATAATCATCAGCTAAACATTAAAGAAGCTTTCAAATGAAAAATGTTTCTACTTGAGGAGTTCTGAATGGAGCAGATTTTCCGGGTGGATCATCTCAATCAGTGGTCCTCCTAACTGTCAATCATTCTGGTGATGCGTTTCCGTCCTGCGTGCTCGCCCCCGTTTCCACGGTGGAGAGTCTGACAGTAGAAAAATTGTAAATCTTCTTTTAGAAGCTAAGCTTGGATGAGCGACGCACGCAGCAGAGCGTGCACGAGGAGAAATGGGCTCGTGCACGCTCTCACACACCTTTAATAGCCGTTCCCTTTTTCAAATTGGTAAAAATCCTCCATTATACCTTTAAATGCAAAATATTTATATATATTTTCAAACTTTGTATTCTTCCTGCTCTAAGTGGGCCGCTCTGTCTGCTAAAAGCATGTTTCTCTGTACTCCAGTTAACGATTAACAGATTAATTGTTGACGATAATTTCAATAATCAAATAATCCTTTAATTGTTTCAGTCCTACTTTGGACCGTCTATGAACATCTGCTCTGCACATAAAACATGTTAGCAGATGAAATCAGGTGTGGAGGCAGAGACACGTCTGAAGGTGGAGGACCGCGGACCTCCAGGACCAGAACTAAGGCTCAGTCCACAGATGGATAAGAAACATCTGCAGATCTACGATCAGGTCTGATTTTAGTCAAAGATGAAGATGATTTAATAACTGATCCTGGTCTTCTATCCTCCCAGACGGTCCTCTTAGCTTTATTTTCAGGCTGGTTCTGGTGGTACTCACTGGCTGACAGGCCCGTCATGTCCATCTTGGGGAGGTGTCTGGCCTTCAGGACCACAACGCTGAGGCGATGAGACACAGGCTGGTAGGAGAGAGACGCCAGCAGCTCCCCGCGGCTCTCGCACTGAGAACAAGGAGAGAAAAACAGTAAACAACAGCCTGAAGGGGGCGCCATNAGTGATAAAGATGCAGACGGCTTAATGTCGTCATGGGAACCTGTACTCATTTTGTCGTACGTTGGGAAAACTCCAGAAATATTTATCATAGTCAATATATCGCCCAGCAATACATCAGTAACTGTATTAATACATTTAACAGTAATGTTAGATTATTTACTTTAGGGGTAAAACAATTAATCTGATTAATCGATAATTGAAATAATCATCAGCTAAACATTAAAGAAGCTTTCAAATGAAAAATCTTTCTGCTTGAGGAGTTCTGAATAGAGCAGATTTTCCGGGTGGATCATCTCAATCATTGGTCCTCCTAACTGTCAATCATTCTGGTGATGCGTTTCCATCCTGTGTGCTCGCCCCCGTTTCCACAGTGGCGAGTCTGACAGTAGGATGAGCGACGCACGCAGCAGAGCGTGCACGAGGAGAAATGGGCTCGTGCACGCTCTCACACACCTTTAATAGACGTTCCCTTTTTTTAATTGGTAAAAATCCTCCATTACACCTTTAAATGCAAAATATTTCTATATATTTTCAAACGTTGTATAATTCCTGCTCTAAGTGGGCCGCTCTGTCTGCTAAAAGCATGTTTCTCTGTACTCCAGTTAACGATTTACAGATTAATTGTTGACGATAATTTCCATAATCAAATAATCCTTTAATTGTTTCAGTCCTACTTTGGACCGTCTATGAACATCTGCTCTGCACATAAAACATGTTAGCAGATGAAATCAGGTGTGGAGGCAGAGACACGTCTGAAGGTGGAGGACCGCGGACCTCCAGGACCAGAACTAAGGCTCAGTCCACAGATGGATAAGAAACATCTGCAGATCTACGATCAGGTCTGATTTTAGTCAAAGATGAAGATGATTTAATAACTGATCCTGGTCTTCTATCCTCCCAGACGGTCCTCTTAGCTTTATTTTCAGGCTGGTTCTGGTGGTACTCACTGGCTGACAGGCCCGTCATGTCCATCTTGGGGAGGTGTCTGGCCTTCAGGACCACAACGCTGAGGCGATGAGACACAGGCTGGTAGGAGAGAGACGCCAGCAGCTCCCCGCGGCTCTCGCACTGAGAACAAGGAGAGAAAAACAGTAAACAACAGCCTGAAGGGGGCGCCATAGTGACCAGCCTGATGGGGGCGCCATGGCCACCAGCCTGATGGGGGCGCCATGACAACCAGCCTGATGGGGGCCCTGCAGCATGACCTACTGGCTGTGTCTGAACATCCATCCTAACCCCTCCATGGAGCTCTATAGAGGCTTGCCATTTTATGAGTGGCTGAATGTTGGGGGACGGGGGGGGGGGACAGGGACTCAGCAATGCATCTTGAAAAGTTTTGACCATCCACGGTCACTAGATGAGCAGATATTGCAGTAATTCTCTGCAAGAGCGCTCTTCGCAAAGCATTATGGAATTTGTTTTGGGGCGAAAAAGAACAAAGATGGCGCAGACAGCGAGGAAGGAGGCAAAGTCACGTGACCAACGAGGAGCGAGAAGCAGTGATGATCTGTCCGAACGGCTAATTAACTGGATCACTATAGAGCGATGGAGGGGTCAGAGGTCAGGGGTCTCAATTTACGTTCTTGAGTGTTCTGGTGAGACGTCATCAGCTTCAGACGCGAACGCCAGACTGAGAACATCTGGATGTTGTTCTCGCCCCGCCCTCTTTACCCAGCATGCATCACAGCAGACTTATCTGTTCCTGAGATTGACAGCTGTCCCAGCATGCAATGCAGCAGCATTAGCTTCCAATGGAGCGCTCCATTGGAAGCTAAAAATTCTCTTTCTGCTGCTTTTGTTCAATAAAAGTACGTTTTTAGATCATTTGAGGCGAATATTATACTTTAAAGAGTCACTATATGGTCTATTTACATATCTATTTTTAATGCGTAATAAAATAAACTATTTCCGAAGTTGAGAGGACCGCGGAAACCAGCGGAGCTCCAAAGCTAACGGCAGCCAGGGCTAAAGTTAGCCCGTCTGTAGCAGCCAGGGCTAACTTTAGCCCGTCTGCAGCAGCCAGGGCTAAAGTTAGCCCGTCTGCAGCAGCCCTCTCTCTGCATAGCGGTGTGTAAAGTACCGCTGGCTCTGATGCTGATATTTTTTGTTTTATTTTGCAAAATGTTCATTTTATTTGTGTTTATCTGACTGTGTTCATTATTATTCCTCCACTAAATAAAATAAGTCATAATTTATTATTATCTATAATCTATTAATAACAGGAAGTGAAATGCAGCTCCGGACTAGCTTTGAATGTGGTGATGTCATCAGTACGCTGCTGTTCCAGTTGACCCAGATTTATTTCTCCCCGGGTCCAGACTTTCCTGGGTTCTAGTCTAGAACAGACTTGGCGAGGACACGAGTCCGTGCTCATGTTCTTATGAAATGAGAAACGGTGTCAGACACAGTCTCTGTTTAAGAAGGACCAGGCCTGAGGTTCTGTTCTAGGAGGTTTCCATGACAACAATGAAACTTAATTCTATTCAGTTTATTTCAATAGCTCCAATTCACATCATGTCATCTCAGGTCACTTTATAGATCCAGATCAACCAGATCATCCAGTCAGATTGATTCACAGTTTTCTAAGGAAAACCAGCTGATTGCATCGACTCATTTTGAATCCTTCCTCACCTGCATGTTCCTCTTGGTGATCTGCTGGCTCAGGTGGACCCGGCCCGTGCTTGGGTCCACGCCCTTCAGCGGCACCACGGCCTCACCGATGACGTCGTCGCGGGCGAAGCGGTCGAAGCTGAGGACCAGGAAGTGCAGGGTGAGCTCAGGCAGCGCGCTGTAGGCCACGCCGTAGAAGGTGAAGGTCTCGTCGAAGATGGGGTCCAGCGTCTTCCTCAGCACGCGCGTCTTCACCCTGTGCTTCTTCTCGGGCAGGATGGTCATCTTCACGTAGGGGTCGGAGCTGCCGGCCTGCTCGTCCACGGCGGGGAGGCCCCGGGCCCCGACTACCGTCACCACCAGCGCCTTCTTGGGGAAGTTGTAATCCACGGTGAGGCTGAGGGAGCCCAGGTTGGGTTCTGGTTCTGGCTCGGAGGAGGCGGGCGTGAAAGGAGACGCCATCTTGCTGCTGTTCTGGCTGCTGCTGGCCGAGCTGCTGTCCAGGCAGCAGTAGTCGGCGCGGACCGGAAGCGCCCGCTCCAGCCGGTTCTGGCCCGACCCGGACGGCGGGACCAGGTGACTCATCTGCAGCTGGCCGGGGACGTCCAGGATGTTGTTCTCTGCGTCCACCAGAACCATCCCCCTGCCTCCGGCGCCGCCGGCGGGGCAGCCGTCCCTGTCCGGTCGCTCGGCTCGTCGGACGCCGCGAACAATTCTCTTACTGCCGCTGAGGGATTCTGGGTAAATGCTGATGCCCTTCAGCATATGGATGAACTTATAGGGCGGGTCCTCTGCATCGCAGTAGCGGTCGCCGTGCAGCTTGTAGCGCCCGGTGACCCGGAGGTAGCGGCGCTGACAGAACGACCAGAGCAGAACCAGAACCACCACCACCAGAACCAGAACACCGGCACCGAGGAAGCCCGCCAGCACCGGAGACATGGCTGAAACAGAGAGCAGAACCCGGACAGAACCGCAGAGTTTAGAGGAATCTTTAACATTTATTCAGTAATAAAAACCTTCGGTTCTATTGGACCTCCATAGAACCGGGGCGACTGGTTTGGGTCTAAATGGGTTTTTCTGGGTTCCTCAGGATCTTTAAGCTTCTGTGTGAATGGTTGATGTTTCTGGCGGGGTTCCTAGGGGCCCCGGGCCATTCTAAAACCTCCCACCTTATTTTCTGATGGTCAGCCATGACGCCTGGCAGACAGGAAGCAGGGAAAGGAGAAGCGTCTGATTGGTCCGCTGGGATGGACGCCATCTTCTCTATAAAAATCTTAGGCCGGTTCTCCTCCTTTCAGAGCCAGAGGTTCAGTCCAGACCCGCCTCGCTGCTGTGAGCAGCCATCATGCTTTTAGCTAGCAATGCGTACCGCATGCATCGTACGCCCTTTAATAATAATATTAGAAATTACGCCCTAATTTTCCAATGGAAACTTCGCTCAAATGTTGACATTTTATTTGGAAACATTGACCTTTATCTGCTGGACGCGCCGCATCGACCAATCAGAGCAGCTGATCTGGGAGCTGGCAGGGAGTCAGACGCAGCGCTGCTGATGCAGAGCGCTATGATCACTCCTCTGTTTATTAAAAGTCGTAGGGAAGTCGTATTTAAAGTAAATCATTCTGGCTTAAACAGGTTTATAAATGTTCTCTTTATCAGGTTCTTTTTTTTTTTTATCCTGTCTTAAAATCTGTTTTTCCCGTTATCTTCTGCAGGCCAGTTAGTTCTACGTCAGCCTGAACACCTAAATTCAGCCAATCATATATCAACGGTCATCTGTCAATCAAATGTTTTCGGTCATAGCATCTTGATTCATATGTCGCAGCTATAGGCCACGCCCCCTCCTCATTTGCATAATGAGGCAGAAATTCAGACAGAAATGTAAAAACAGGCAGAAATAAACAGGATAAAAAAATACAAAGGAAAAATAAGCCAGACAAAAATATTATAACGTGCACAAAAA